GGCACGTTCTGCATGGAGCACTGGGTGTTATGCACAAACAATGAATCATGGAACACTTCATTTAGAACTAATGATGTAATGTATGGGGATTAACAGAAGAATAAAAAAAAAAGAAAGAAAGAAAAAAAATAATGGCTGAACTCACATAGACTGATTGATAAAGTAATGAAGTGATTAAGAATCTATAGGAGTACCTATTAGGATAGGCTATGGATATGCTATGTAGCACTTTTACAGTAATATTTTCAACCTTTGGTTATGATTAATAGAAACTTGAAACAAATGCATATAATATTTTGGATCCCTCTTGCTGTGAAAACATCTTGATTTCTCTGTTTAGGTAATGTGAGGAAGAGAAAAAAATATGGGCTCTGGGTTTGACCCTATCTGATCTCACTTCTGTTGTTTTTATCTTTCTGGATTTCAGCAATTAATTATAGCTTCTGAACCTTAGTTTAGCTATACAAAAAGCTCATGATACTCAATACCTACCTCCCTGTCCACTTTTATAGGGCTGTAATCACAAGGAAAAATTATTAAGAACTATAACAGGTATTAAGATGATTTTCACATACAGTTTTTTTCATCATGTATGTTTGGTCCCCAGATTTTAAAATACAAACATGATAATGGAATATATTATTAGATTATAATCTGCAACAACAGAAAACTTACCTTTTTACTCTTAGATGAAAATTGAGCTTTTATAAGAGTGTCATAAAGTTTTTCCTTTTTAAAATTGTAGAGTTAAATGAAAAAATTGCAAGAGATCCAGAGAGGAAAAATAACTAATGAGAATAACTTCTAGACATTAAAATATCTCTGTGTTTAATAAACCCACAATTGAATCGTAATAAAATTCTGGACCAAAGAGTCTCACCTATAGCTACCTTAAGCCTCCATCTCAATATGTTTTCTATACTAACACATCTGAGAAAGAAGATTTACTCCCACCCGTAACAGTGGCTCACTGTAGTTAATGGTTTTTAAACTGGCTGAGTTTGGGGGCAAGAGGTGGTGGTACAGGGCTTGGAGAATGAGTTGGTGCCATACATAGTTGAAAAGGAAGCTGTCCGTGCTTCAAGATTCCAATGGGTCTCTCTGCCCTCCCTGTACCCACCCCTCTGAGAGTTACTGACCTAGGCAAGTATCATTGCCGATACATAAGGACTTCTGTTTCAACCTATATGCCTTTTGTTCTGCTATTCATGGTTCATAAAAGAAAGAAAGATCTTTGTTTCAGGAATGTAAAATACCAGATTATAAGTATGTCTCAAAAGAGCTCAAACTACTTTTCACTATGACATTTCCTTTATCTTCAACTTCCCACTCAAGGACATAAAAAGAAGCCTTTGATATCTCATTTATAGTTGTGAAATACAGGATTAGGAAGCTGAAGCTTTGTCCACACAACAGCCTTGCCCAGAGTGAGCCCACATAGATGCTTATTTCCAAATTCATTCCTACAAGTGCTTCTCAAATTGAAATACAAATAAACATGGGAAAGTGAGTCAGAGGCTTACAAACTGCCAGGATAAACATGGTACATTTTCTTGGACTACTAATTTTATTTGCTGGTATGTAAGTTAAATCATTTTCAAATAATAAAACAAACAGGATATTACAATGGTGTAAAATGAAAAATTCGATGAAACATCAAACTTCAGCCCATTGGTTTAGACTAAGCTTCATAAGTAGTATAAGTAGTTTACCCTCCTCTGCTATTAGGAGCATTTTGGTGGAAAACTTTAAGAAGCACCATTCTATATTTGAATTTTTAGTTTATTTTATCTTCAAGGGGAAACTCCAGAGGGTAATAGGGCCTAGGTCTTCTGGGTTATTTACACAATGCCAAGCACTTGATCGGACCACAATAAATGCAACAAAAGAAACAAATCAAATCTACCTCTCCTGCAACCTGGTCCAAATCTCAAACTGTTACCCTGCAAAGCTATATGAAGAACTTTTACCAAATTGTAGATTTTGTTTTTTAAAAAAATAGTTTATCACTAAGAATGAATCTTTTTAGCAATATATTCTGGCCTTTTTAGACAAGGTTCTGGCAGAATGAGTTCAGAGATAAAAAGAGGTATGATTTAGGAAGTAGCAATACATAATAAGCATTAAAGTCACTGTGGAGTAGAAACAATTTCATCGGAAAAGTTTTTGAAAAAGTTCTCTTACATCTAGTTAGAACCTATCCAAGGTTGCTGGAGCTAGAAATAGAATCCAGGTACTCTTATTCCCTGTGCAATGTCTGGGCCACATAGCCATGATACCGGTCTCAGAAATTATCAGTGGTTTTTTTTTCTTTTTTAAAGATTTTATTTATTTATTTGACAGAGAGATAGAGAGCACAAGTAGGCAGAGTGGCAGGCAGAGGGAGAGGGAGAAGCAGGCTC